TTCAAAAATATGGAGATGTTAAATTGCATTATACCATAATCAATCTGTAAGTGTTTCATGGTAATATGGTGGTATTGTCACTTATATTTATCATTGTCACTATTATATTTTAGTAATTTATTTGTATCATGCCAAGGAAAGGAGTGGATATCCTTAATCAATTCAAGTCTATAATGGCAGAGTTTTCTGAAGTGACACTGCATAAATGTTTCACAAACCATACAGAAAGAGCAGTCACATTGTTTTATAAATGAATCTGATACTTTGCTATTAAGTTTCAGGTACTACTTTGAAACTACAGTGCCAAATTAAACACCCTAAAATTGCCTTCATATTTTTTTCTTAACTTTTGATTTTAATTTGTTTTGAAACTTTCACTTCAGCACTGCCTAGCTATATAACCACATTAAATACAAATTTGAGACTAGGGTGTCAAAATTAAAATCCTAAAACTGCCATTATGATGATACCGACGTTTATGTTTCTTTTTTTAAACTTTCATTTTAACTATGTCTTGTTTAAAACCCTAGCTAGTATTAGCTACTGAGTTTTGAATATTCATTTAACATGTGAATCGCAAAATTAGAAACCTAACACTGCCTTAATTTTGTAAAATTACAGAACTCAATACTAAGTTCTGTATTTTGAAACTTTTATTTTGACTGCCAAGGTTTTTCTGAGATGAACAATCACTTTGAAATCAGTTTATGATTACTGAGATAATGGTTTTATTATTGATTCACTCATATAACAAAAAATATTTTAAATGTGTTTATATGTTTTATATTTATAAGAAATCAATATTTTATCAGATGGGAGGAGCTGAGGAATCATCATAGCATGGACACCAATATTCTGTCTTAGAATCCTGTGAAATGTCCTGACAAATAGTCCTGCAGAACATCCAAAAAATCTGGATTTGTCAGACAAGTCTCTATGTGATTAGATTCAGAGTAATCTAATCTAGATTAGTCTGAATGAAGATATTGATGAAGATATTGATTTCTTAAAAGCCAGATCTTATATGTTTGTATGTTTTATGATATAGTATAAAACAGGGAGCATATTCAATAAAACATAGTCTCTTTTATTTTTATTCAATAAAATATAGCCTCTTTTAAATATTATGTCACATTTCCTTTTTAATTTATTTCATTTATTTTTCCTTTCCCTACAGCATCAATATCATTTCGCATTTCTGTTGTGTGATTAACTTTACAACAGAAATTGCTATCCCTCCTGGAATGTAAGAGCCACGAACAGGAATCTTTTACTCTTTGTCACTGATGTATTTTAAGGACCAAAAAGAGTGCCTGTGACATAATAGACACTCAATAAATATTTGTTGAATGGCTATTTGATAAATTGAATAAATCAACATAGAACTGTACCCCAAAAAGAGTAACCATGAAAAAAAGCAGTCTTCATTCAGAAAGGTCATTATTTTTAGATTTTTTTTCTAATACTAATATTGTTTTGTTCACTTTCTGTATTTGGTAAGAATGAAGAGAGAGAGAAAAACTTTTGAGCGACTCTTATCAGCTATATTATGTGATAAACGCCTTCTCCTGGCATTGTTTCTGAGTGCTTTTATCCTGTCCTCTGAATTTTTCCCAACAGATTCTTCTGCATCTGAAGGTGAATTTTATTTATTTATTGAGATATGTTCCTTATATAAAAGTAATCCAGGAAGAGCTGGACCTACAATTTTTAAAATAAAACAGCTTAACAATGTAAAGAAATGTAAAAAAAATTCAGAGTGATTAAATTTAAAGAGAGAGAAGAGGTCGATCAACATGTTATTAACGTTTTGTTTTGTTTTGTTTTGTTTTGTTTTTGGCTAGAAAGGTTTAGGGCAGCAGTGGCCAAGATGGCCAACTAGAAGCAGTTAATGTGTGTGACTCTCACAGGGAGAAGCAAAGGGGGTGACTAAATACAGCATCTTCAGCTGAAACATTAAGGTGTTTGCATTGGAACTAATCAAGGAAACAACTTGACCCAGGGAGACCAGAGCAAATCAAGGCAGGAAGACACCCCACCTGGGAGAGACATGGAGTCAAGGGAAGCTCCCCTTCCCAGAGAAGTGGTGAGTGAATGCGCAACCCTGGGAACCCACACTGCTCTCACAGATCTTTGCAATCCTCAGATCAGGAGATCCCCTTGTTAACTCACTCCATTAAGGCCTTCAGTCTGACACAGACAGCTACGTGGAGTCTCAGCAGAGCAGCCACTCAGGCATGCACGGAGACCCAAGAGTTTTAGATACTCCAACTTTCTGGTGTCTGGGCAAAAGTAGCTGCGACTCTTGCAAAGCTGGAGGTTAGACCCCCAAACATACCCCAGGAGGTTAGACTCCCATATATACCCCAGGAAAGAGGCTGAATCCAGCAAGATCAGCAGAGAAGGTCTACAGTCCCCACTTCCACAGCGCCTCACAGGATAAGACCCACTAGCTTGGAATTCCAGCTAGTCACCAGTAGCAACATTGTGCCTCCCTGGTACAAAGCTCCCAGGAGGAGGGGCAGGCCCCCGTCTCTGCTGTTTGGGCAACGTAGCCATTATGGCCTTTGGGCTTTGGAGAGTCCAAACTAACCAGCGGTGAAAGAGATCCCGCAGCACAGCTGCTCTATCAAAATGTGGCCAGACTGCTGCTTTAAGTGGGTCCCCAATCCTATTCATCCTTACCAGGCGGGACCTCCCAACTGGGGCCTCCAGCCATGCCTGCCAGTGTTCTCCAGCTGACAGAGATTTGAAAACTCCCTGGGACAGAGCTCCCAGAGGGAGAGGCAGACTGCCATTTTTGCTGTTTGGGCAACTTAGCCATTCCAGCCTTCAGGCTTTGGAGAGCTTAAGCCAACCAGGATGGAAGGGGTACCCCAGCACAGAACAGCTGCCCGACAAAAATGTGGCCACACTACTTTTTTTTAGCGGGTCCCCAATCCCATTCCTCATCACTGGGTAGAGTCTCCCAACTGGGGTCTCTGGTTACCCCAACTGGTGTTCTCTGACTGACAGAAGTTTCAGACCTCCATGGGACCTTTGTCCCAGGGAGAGGAGTAGCCCACCATATTTGCTGTTTAAGCAAATTAGCCATTCCAGCCTTTGGACTTCAGAGTGTCTGAGGCGATCAGGAGCTAAAGCATACCCCCAGCATGGCACAACTGCTCTATGAAAATGGGGCCAGACTACTTTTGAAACAGGTCCCTGATCCCATTCCTCCTGACTGGGTGAGTTCTCCCAACTAGTGTATTCAGCCATATCCTACAGGTGTGTTCGGGCCAGCAACAGGCCTGTATTTCCCAGGGACAGAGCTCCCAGAGAAAGAGGAAGGCCGCCATCTTTGCTTTTTCACAGCTTTCACTGGTGATACCTCCACGTACTGGAAAATCTGAAGTGACTAGGGACTGGAGCAGGTCCCCAGCATACTACAGCAGCCCTGTGGATAAGTGGACAGACTGTTATGTGGGCGCCCATTCCCATATCTCCTCAACAAGCAGGTCCTCCAGGCCTGGACCTATAGCCACACCCCATCAGAGCTATCAAGCCAATAGCAACTCAGCCACTCCCTGGACAGAGCTTCCAGGGACAACTGAAAGCCTCTCTGCCACTACCTCTGCAGTGGAACTGTCCTTGCTACCCTCTGACTAATAAAGGAGCAAGGACCCTAAGTGTCGTATCCACACCTCCAATAAGCAGCAGTTGACCCAAGGAGAGGAGGCCAGTCCATCTCCCACAGGTCCCACCTCACCCCTCAACTGCTCCTCAGTAGACAGGGAGCCCCCAGCTTGGACCCACAGCACAGACTCTCCATCCTGGGCTGACTGAACTGAGCAACTGTTGACCCACATCTCTCTCGGGCGGAGCCCCCAGGAGACAAGCAAAGTGGTAGAGCAGCAAGCCAGCTGATGTGGAGCCCAGAAGGTTTAGTGCAGGAGTGTCTATAGCAGAGCATGGACAGGGATGGCGATCCCTCTAGGCTCAACTTGCTCCCATAACAGACTTTGGCCCTAAGGGAATTTTCAGACCTGATCTCTGCAGAGTGGTCTTGCACATCAGTCAGGGCTGGTGCACCCTGAGCGCTCCTTGGTCTGCTGGCCTCTTTCAGGGACATCTTGAGTGCTGTGGTGGCCCACAGTAGCTTCTGCACCAGTGGACCATGCCTGACCAGTGGAGAACTCCAGCAAGACAGCCCTTACTGCTGCACACCAGCCCAGGTGTTTGCTCCCCATACTGCAGCTTCCTCTGAGCCCATGGAGACTCCCCACATCACTTTGTAGGCACATGTCTGCACAGGTGGATTTTGCTTTACTTGCCCCACCAGCATACAGGAATGAAGTATGCCCCTTGACCTCTGCCTACCACCATTGCAGACAGAACCTTAGCGGCACACAGCCAGCAAGCCCTGCTGCTGAAAGTGCCTCACTCTTGTGGTAATGCTGCATGGAGAACAGAGGATCCTCCCACACCCTGAGCAATCCCTCCCGCTTGCAGGTGACCAAGAAGGCAATCAGATCTGCACTGGCCAGCGCCTCACCCCAAACCAACACCACCTCCATTGCAAACGCACGGAGAGCCTATAGCAGGAGCCCCCTGTTCCCCACAAAAATGCATTGCCTCCAATGGCATGGTGAATGCTCACAGGGAGGCAGGCACTCCTGAATCTGCTAGCACTCAGCTGCAGCTGCCACACCTTGGTCCCCCCAGCAAAGTAGACTCCAAACCTCAAGGAACCAGAGAACAAAGCTGGGGCCCAATACAAGTCATCCAGAGTTAAAGCATGCAGTCCAGGAGTTGGGATGGCACCCTAAAATCTTGCAGATACAAAGCCAGTTGGTTGAATCGACCTTATACCACAATCAAACCCTCAAGGTCATCAAATAGGATAAAAGGAAAAAAAAAAAATCCAAATGTCAGCAACCTCAAAGATTGAAGGTAGATAAGCCCACAAAGATGAGAAATAATCAGCACAAGACCACTGAAAACTCAAAAAGTCAGAGTACCTTCTTTCCTCCAAAGGACCACACTACCTCTCTGGCAAGGGTTCAGTACCAGGCTGAGGCTGAGATGGCTGAAATGACAGAAGCAGAATTCAGAATATGGATAGGAATGAAGTTCACAGAGCTATAGGAGTATGTTGTAACAAAATGCAAAGGAACTAAAAATTATAGTAAAACATTGGAGGGGCTTACAGATAAAATAGCTAGAATACAGAAGAATGTAACTGACTTGATAGAACTAAAAACACGCCACAAAAAATGTGTAGGTTTGTTTTTGAGGCAGAGTCTCAACTCATCCAGGCTGGAGTGCAGTGACATGATCTCGGTTCACTGCAACCTTCGTCTCCCAGGTTCAAGCAATTCTCCTGCCTCAGTCTCCCCAGTAGCTGGGGTTACAGGCATGTGCCACCATGCCCAGCTATTTTTTTTTGTTTTTTGTTTTTGTTTTTTGTTTTTTGTTTTGTCATTTTTAGTAGTGGTGGGGTTTCACCACATTGGCCAGACTGGTCTCAAACTCCTGACCTCAAATGATCCACCTGCCTCAGCCTCCCAAAGTGCTGGGATTACAGGTGTGAGCCACCACTCCCAGCCCCAAAAATTTCATAATGCAACCACAAGTATTAATAACAGAATAGACGAAGTGAAAGAGAGAATTTCCAAGCTTGAAGACTACCTTTCCAAAATTAGAAAAGCAGACAAGAATAGAGAAAAAAAGAATAAAAATGAATAAACAAAACCTCCTAGAAATGTTGTATAGAGACCACATCTACAATTCATTGGTGTACCTGAAAAAGATGGAAGATAGTGTAACCAACTTGGAAAACATATTTTAAGATATCATCTATGAGAACTCCCCCATCCTAGCCAGAGAGGCCAACATTCAAGTTCAGGAAATGCAGAGAACCCCAGTAAGATACTCCATAATAAGATCATCCCCAAGACACATAATCATCATATTCTCTAAGGTCAAAATGAAAGAACAAATGTTAAACGCAGCCAGAGAAAAGCCAGGTCACAAAGGGAACCCCATCAGACTAACAGCAGACCTCTCAGCTGAAACCCTACAAGCCAGAAGTGATTGGAGGCCAATATTCAACGTTTTTAAAGACAAGAAACTCCAACCCAGAATTTTGTATCTGGCCAAACTAAGTTTCATAAGTGAAGGAAAAATAAGATCCTTTGCAGACAAGCAAATGCTGAAGGAATTAGTTACCACCAGACCTACCTTACAAGAGCTCCTGAAGGAAGCACTAAATATGGAAAGGAAAGACCATTACCAGTCACTATGAAAACACACTGAAGTGCATATAAAGCAACCACAAAAACAAGTCTGCAAAACAACCAGCTAGCATCATGATGACAGGATCATAACCTTAAATGTAAATGGGCTAAATGCACCAATTAGAAGATAGAGTGGCAAGTTGAATAAAGAGCCAAGACACATTGGAATGCTGTCTTCAAGAGCTCCATCTCACATGCAATGAGATAGCCTCAAAATAAAAGGTTGGAGAAAAATATATCAAGCAAATGGAAATCAGCAAAAAGCAGGGTTCCAATCCTAGTTTCTGACAAAACAGACATTAAACCAACAAGAACAAAAGAGACAAAGAAGGGCATTACATAATGGTAAAGGGTTCAATTCAATGAGAAAAATTAACTATCCTAAATATATATGCACACAACACAGGAACACCCAGATTCATAATCATGTTCTTAGAGACCTTCAAAGAGACTTAGACTCCCACAGAATAATAGTGGGAGACTTTAACACCTCAGTGACAATATTAGACAGATCACCAAGACAGAAAATTAACAAAGATGTTCAGGACCTGAACTCAACACTGGATCAAATGAACCTGATAGATATATACAAAACTCTCCAGTGAAAAACAAGAGAATATACATTCTTTTCGTTACCACATGGCACATATTCTAAAATTGATCACATAATTGGAAGTAAAACACTCCTCAGCAAATGCAAAAGAACTGAAATCATAACAGTCTCCCAGACCACAGCACAATCAAATTACAGATCAACACTAAGAAATTCACTCAAAACCATACAATTACATGGAAAGTAAAATGCCTGCTCCTGAATGACTTTTGGGTAAACAATTAAATTAAGGTAGAAATCAAGAAGTTCTTAGAAACTAATGAGAACAAAAGATGCAACATACCAGAATCTCTGGGACAAAGTTAAGGCAGTGTTAAGAGGGAAATTTCTAGCACCAAATGCCTGCCCACATCAAAAGGTTAGAATGATCTCAAGTTAGCAACCTAGCATCACAACTAAAGAACTAGAGAACCAAGAGCAAACAAATCCTAAAGCTAGCAAAAGACAGGAGATAACCAAAATCAGAACTGAACTGAAGGAGATAGAGACACAAAAACAATTCAAAAGATCTACAAATACAAGAGTTGGTTTTGTGAAAAAAAATAATAAAAATAGATATACCACTAGCTAGATGAATAAAGTAGGAAAGAGAGAAGATTCAAATAAACACAATCAGAAATGACAAGGGGGATATTACCACTGACCCCACGGATATACAAACAACAATCAGGAAATATCATGAACACCTCTACGCACATAAACTAGAATATCTAGAAGAAATTGACAAATTCCTGGAAACTACACCCTCCAAAGACTAAACCAGGGAGAAATCGAATCACTGAACAGACCAATAAGAAGCTCTGAAACTGAGGCAGTAATTAATAGCCTACCAACCAAAAAAACCCCAGGACCACAGGTATTCACAGCTGAATTCTACCAGATGTATAAGGAAGAACTGGCACCATTCCTACTGAACTATTTCAAAAAAATGAGGAGGAGAGACTCCTCCCTAATTTATTCTATGAGGCCAGTATCATCCTTATACTGAAACCTAACAGAGATACAACAAAAAAAGAATACTTCAAGCCAATATCCTTGATGAACACTGATGCAAAAACCCTCAACAAAATACTGGCAAACTGAATCCAGCAACACCTGAAAAACCTTATCCACCACAATCAAGTAGGCTTTATCCCTGAGATGCAAAATTGACTCAGTATATGCAAATCAATGTATATGATTCATCACATAAACAGAACTAAAACAAAAACCACATGATTACTTCAATAGATGCAGAAAAGGCCCTCAATAAAGTTCAACGTCCATTCATGTTAAAAAACTTTTAATAAACTAGGTATTGAAGGAACATACCTCAAAATAATAAGAGCCATCTATGACAAGCCCACAGCCAACATCATACTGAATGGGCAAGAGCTGGAAGCATTCCCCTTGAAAACTGGCACAAGACAAGGATGCCCTCTGTCACCACTTCTATTCAACATAGCATTGAATATTCTGGCCAGAGCAATCAGGCAAGAGAAAGAAATAAAGGGCATCCAAATAGGAAGAGAGGAAGTCAAACTATCTTTGTTTGCAGATCACATGATCCTACATCTAGAAGACCCCATTGTCTCAGCCCAAAAGCTTCTTAAGCTGATAAACAACTTCAGCAAAGTCTCAGGATACAAAATCAATATGCAAAAATTACTAGCATTGCAATACGCTAACAACAGTCAAGCCCAGAGCCAAATTAGGAGCAAATCCCCATTCAAAATTGCCAGAAAAAGAATAAAATGCCTAGGAATACAGCTAACCACGAAGTGAAAAATCTCTACAAGGAGAACTATAAACTACTGCTCAAGGAAATCAGAGATAACATAAACAAATGGAAAAGCATTCCATGCTCATGTATAGGAAGAAACAGTATTGTGAAAATGACCATATTGGCCAAAGCAATTTATAGAGTCAATGCTATACCTACAAAACTACCATTGAACCTTTTCATAGAACTAGAAAAAACTATTTTAAAATTCATATGGAACCAAAAAAGAGCCCTAATTGTCCAAGGTAATCCTAAGCAGAAAGAACAAAGCTGGAGGCATCACATTACCTGACTTCAAACTATACTACAGGGCTACAGCAACCAAAACAACATGGCACTGGTAAAAATAAATAAATAAATAAATATAAATAAATTTTAAAAATTAAAAAAAAAAACCAGACACAGACTAATGGAACACAATAGAGAACCCAGAAATAAGACCACACACCTCCAACTATCTGATCTTCAACAAACCTGACAAAAACAAGCAATGGAGAACAGATTCCCTATTCAATAAATGGTGCTGAGATAACTGGCTAGCTATATACAGAAGATTAAATCTGGACCCCTTCCTTACACATATACAAAAATTAACTCAAGATAGAGTAAAGACTTAAATGTAAAACCCAAAACTATCAAAACCCTGGAAGACAACCTAGGGAATACCATTCAGAATATAGGCAGAGGCAAAGATTTCATGAGGAAGACACAACGAACAATCGCATCAAAAGCAAAAATTGACAAATGGAATTTAATTAAACTAAAAATCTTCTGCACAGTAAGAGAAATTATCAACAGAGTAAACAGACAACCTACAGAATGGGAGAAAAATTGTTTAAACTATGCATCTGACAAAGGTCTAATATCTAGCATCTATAAAGACCTTAAACAAATTTATAAGAATAAAACACCCATAGTAAAAAATAGGCAAAGGACAGGAACACTGTTCAAAAGAAGACATACATGTGGCTAACAATCATAGGAAGAAAAGCTCAACATCACTGATCATTAGAAAAATGCAAATCAAAACCACAATGATATACTACCTCACATAAGTCAGAATGGCTATTATTAAAAAGTCAAAAAAATAACAGATGCTGTTGAGGTAGTGGAGAAAAAGGAACACTTAGACACTCCTGAGTGTAAATTGGTTCAACCATTGTGGAGGATGGTGTGATGATTCCTCAAAGACCTAAAGACAGAAATACCATTCAACCCAGCAATCCCATTACTGGGTATATACCCAAAGGAATATAAATCATTCTATTATGAAGACACTTGTATGTGTATATTCATTGCAATAGTATTCACAATAGCCAAAAAAATTGAATCAACATAAATGCCATCAATAATAGACTGGATACAGAAAATGTGGTACATATACACCATGGAATACTATGCAGTCATAAAAAAAG